AAGACTCCCAGATTGCAGGCCCTCTCTGAGGAGGCTAAAAGTTCTCCCCCTATCATCAAAGATGGAACAGGATGCACAAATTGGGATGATGGAAACCACAGCCATTCAGTCTTGGAGGGATTGAGCTTGAGCCTGTTCCTCCCCATACAGATCCGCACAGCCTTCAGGCATCGGGACATCACATCGAGGGCATCGTTTGGGTGGCTTGGGGTAGAGATGAAAAGTTGGGTATCATCAGCATATTGATGATTCCGTACCCCAAAACCATGGAGGATCTCGTCCAGCAGTTTCATATATATGTTGAACAGGAGGGGTGAGAGAACCGACCCCAGGAGCACCCCACAAGTGACGTGCCTCAGGGTCGATCCCTGTCCTCCAGTCAACATGAACTGCGACTGATCCGACAGGCAGGAGGAGAACCACCGTAAAACGGTGCCCCCCACTCCCAACCCCCCGAGTCGTCGCAGTAGGATACCGTGGTCGATGGTATCGAAAGCCACCAAGAGGTCTAATAGGACCAGGACAGAGGAGCAGCCCCTGTCCTGGGCCCGCCAGAGATCATCAACCAATGCAACCAATGCCGCCTCCATGCTGTACCTTCCAGCAGCTCAGGCAGGGCCAATGAAACGTAGCAGGGAGACAGGTACGTAACAAAAAGGCCCACCTGGACTCCAAGGCCCCATTTCACAAAAAGGGACTCACACCCACCTATTTATTCTGAATCATTCTGGAAACAAGCATTCTTGAGCTTACCAGACACAAGTAAAATGTTTTGGCTTTTTTAAAAAAAAATATATTAGAAAAAGATTACTCTTACCAGGTGCTGGATTCTCTTCCTGTCTGTCTCAGGGGTACATTCAGTACTCAAGGGAACGATGCTCCGTTTTCGAACAAGAAGTACCCTGAAAAACAGTATTTTTTCTTTCAAAGAGAGTTTTGCCACTTTTAATGGTTGTCTCACTTTTCATGTTTAAGATGGAAGAAAAATTATATGCCAAGGGAAGATTCTTTTTTGGTTAGTCCAAAAGCTCAATTCCTTCAATTTAAGCCTATTTTCTTTTATATAAGGCACCTTACTCTGTAGCTTGCAATTAAAACACCCATTTTCAACAACTTAGCAGCAGTTGGGAATGGGATTTTCGGAAGGAAACCAACATGGGTAGGATTAAAATGAAGCCATCTTTCTTGAGCATCCAACCTGGAAAAATATCTTCTGGTAGTGTTTTGAAAGATTGTGTTTGCTCCACATACCACACTCCTACTCCAAATCAGGGCCATATGAAGCTCCATTGTTTTTTAAAATACCCACTTTAACTACCTTTTTTTAAAAATAAAAGATTATGGTATAATTCTGTTAGAAAGAAAAAAAAACTCTGACATAGTAATTTTTAATGGCTTTTGCTTTGCATGTGTGTGTGTTGTTATTCTTTCAAAATACTCAATATTAGGCTTAATAAAATGTAGATATTTAGATTACTGTAGAAATTTATTTAGATAAAATAAAATGCTAAATGTCTTCCATATCCATATTAAAGGATCATGTTGGATCTTAACCAATGATGTTCCAGGGTTTTGAACTCACCTGCTGTCACCTGCATTTGCTACATAGAGCCTTCCCTGCAGATAAAGAGCAGCCAGTGCAGTGCAGCCTGCTGATTGGTTGCTTGCTTTAATCTCTTGACCTATCATTTTATCCTGTTGGTAAAAACAATATTTAATGATGTAAGACAGATATCAGATTTCCCAGCACTGAAGCCTAATTTCATCACCATTGTTCCCCACTAGTGGTGGATGAAAACAGGCAATTGCCAGTTAATGTTTCAAGTATGCTTAATTGTAAATAAACTGTAAGTGGAAACGCTTATTGTATGATTGTGCACGTGATATATATTCTTTATTGGTATAAGAATTAATAGCACAATATAGAACAAACAAGAATCCAGAAGAGATGTAGGCGAAAGACAGACAATCAAAAAGTATTCACAATTCCTTACCATCAGCCATACTGGCGTGATGATTGAGAACTGAAATACAAGCCACCAGGGAAACATAGTCTGTTTTATCCTGATCTAGCAGCTGTCCTGCCAGAATTGGAAACAGTAAAATTAACTCCATCAGCCATTTAACAAAATATGACTGATACAAACTGCAATGATACAAACAAACTGCATTCTCTCATAGCTATGTCCAAAAGTTGGTTGCAAGTATGTTTATGTTACAACATCATTTGCATTCCACGTTTTGTTCCTTTCCCACAGTGCACAACATAACTCAATTCTTGGGACAATAAAAAAAAAAAAAAGTAGGATCACTCACACATTCCTGAAAGGCGCTCTCCAAAGCTCCAATGACCACATTTTCCTGATGAATTTTCTTTTCTTCCACAAACAGTGGATCATTCTGGCAAATGCATTGCCCACTGAGGTGCATCGGAGGATTATCTTCAGTGATGCCTTCTATCACATCCTCTAGTTTCTGCTTGATGCAACAGTGTAGGTAATTGGAGGCCATAATTGCAGCTTCTGAACCACCATGGCCATCAAACAGTGCCCAGTAATAGCCTGTCAGATACTGAAAACCAAACTACTGTGAGGATCATCATATGGGACTTGCCTTCATGTTATAGCAAGGACATTTGAGACAGAATGTTTGATGTGGACAGGGGAGACCCAGATTAAATTATCTGCTTGGGCATGAATCTCAATGAGAAGTCTTGACAAGTCAACAATATTTCAGTTTTAGCTTCATCATAGTAAGAGATGTGCTTCATACAAGTATGGATGTCTGCAAGCTATTATTAGTTATCATCAAGTCCCATCCCTTAAAAAAATCATCTCATGAAACCTAGGCAACAGGATTTCTTGACTGCTGTGCCTATCTCATGGAATAGCACTTCCCCAAGATCTGGATGTCTCCAACCCTGCCTGGTTTTTGTAAAGCTGTGAAGTCCTGCTTTTCCCCCCGAGGAGTTTGATCCCATTCAATAGAACTGTGTGTCTGTTGAATTGTCTTGATAAAATTATAGGGTTAATTTTATCCTATGTTATATTTCATTATATCTTCTTTTTATTTTCCTTTTTAACTGTGAACTACCCCATTGTTTTAAGTGTGTGGCTATGCGTATATGTGCACAGTGAGTGTGTGTGTGTGTGTGTGTGTGTGCATGCACGCGCGCACACACAAACAAATGCATTGGGTTTATTAGGTAGAAAATGTAAGGGGTAAGGAGTTGTAATTGAAAAGGCAAGAAGTGAAAAAGGATAAGGGAATGATACTAATCAATCCTGCCTAATCTCAGAAACAGGAGCATCAGAAAAATGAGGTTCATGCAGTAATTAAAATTTTTTTAAAACTTTACTTCTTCCAATTTTTCAAGGATTTTGTTACAGTTTTATTAGAGAACCCTGACTAGGAACTGCTTATTTTTGCCATCTTAGTTTCAAATGCTAATGCCAATTCACTTACAAATAAACTTAATGACAAATCAAGTGGGTACATGCCTGCCCATTCTACTCCTGCTTCAGACAACTGACAAACCATCTCAGATGAACACTCATTACATACATAGTGCATAATTTAGAGGTGGCAAATCAAGTTTATGAAAACAAAGCACCTTCTGTGCAAGAGATCCTCCCCACCCCCCACCCCCAATCCAAGTTTTATTCTATCCAAAATACCTGAATAAATTTAAAGACAAAATGGCTGATAGCCACAACTTGGAGGGAAAGCAGCTATTTTTTTGTATAGGCATATGGAAGAACTCACACTTGCTTCTTAGGCATTTCAAGCAGTATTCACACCGCGAGGATGGCAATCTCTTGTTTACTGTAAGCTGTCAAAATAATCAAGAGGAAGCCACAGAATCTAAAGCAGGGTTTTGGTTTGCTTCATAAGGACCTCGGCTGCCCACTTTGTAAAGTATGAACCTCCTTCTACTTCAGATTTTATTCTGGACATAATTATTTTGATTTAATTAGAAAACTGTAAAGCTTATTAATTCAAAGCTCATGCCTTTTGCGGGGTGTTTATAATGGTTTACTAACACATTTAAGAACCAAACAAGTCATTCATAATTGCCAGCATGAAGCTGCTATACAAATACTCTAATTGTTTGCAGAACAATGCATTCTATAGCAGCAAGGGTTTTTTTTTTTCCTTCCCACACGATTACCAAACTGAAATGAACAGCCCATTGAAAAAAAATCTGGCAGCGACAAACAGGCATTTCCAGTCCCACAAGATAAATATTGAAAGGTTCTTAAAGAAAATCTTGGAACGGATCATGGCAGCTGGTAATTTCAATTCTATCTGCTTCTTTTCTCTGACCTTAAAGAAGATCAAATTCCAGAATAAGACATACTCAGGCGTCCAACATTATCATTCAGTTTCTTCCTCCTTATTCGAAAACAGTGGACATCTTGTTGTGGCCTGCCAGCAGCCAGCAGAGCTGGCAGCAGATTCGGACAGTAAGGAGGTTGGGGAGGAACACAGGCCCGTCCTGGAGTCTGAGGAAGGTTCTGATGAGGGCTCTGTGTTGGAGGCAGAAAGGGGACCAGAGCCGTATGCCAGTTATCAGCTGCCTTCAGAGTCAAACATCAGTGAGACACATGAACAGCTGGAGCCTGTTCCCAGTGTGCGCATGCACAGAGTTGCCAGACGAAAAGACAAGCTAAAGAACAGGGGTTGACTTGGGAGTAAGGCTACAGGTGGACGATGAAGGGCCCCTCCCAGAGGAAATAAAAGAGGAGCGAAAGGGGAGTGGAGTTTGCAGGAGAAAATTACATCACTTGATTGATTCGTGACTCTCCAAGACTCCTTGCCAAGTTTTGCAGATATCGGCCTATCAGCTCTCCAACCCAGATAAAGTCTGTGACTGTAAATCCTCCTTTGAAAGACTTTGCTGGATGTGAATGAGCAGAATTCACAGTAAATTAATAAAAGGATTTTTTGTCAGGACAAGAAGTTTGCTTCATGCTCTTGGTCAAAATATATCTTAATGAAAACAGCATGTTTAGTTTTGATATCTGAACTCACCTCAGTAGAACACAAAATTAGCCATTCCTGATCCTCCTCTTCGCCACACCCAAATGGTCTCTTCCTGATAGAAATCTGGCAACATGTTGCTTGGTCTTCATTCAATTCTGATTTTTCTACATTGACAGTTCTGATGAAACAAATAATGATTGTTCAAAACAGTTTGGCTAACTGAAGCATGCCTCAGCTAAAAATAAGCTCAATTAATTTCTGTAAAGGAATTGAATGGAGCCTAATATATCATTAATATATCTTTTACACTGCAGTCCTATACATATTTACTTCCACATCCAATAAACTTGGTTGGATTTGCTTTAGGTAGAGATGCTAATAATTATTTCAAATGACAAATATGGAAGTACAGCACAACAAAAGCTTGGTCTGCAATGTAAAAAAAAAAATCAGGGGAGTTGGGGTCCTGAATATTTCTGCTTAATATTCACACTTCCTGAGCTTCAGACAGGAGGTGATTTTTATTCCATTTTTCTTTTTCCTTTATTCATTATCAGATTCTCTGTGCCCCTTAAGAACTGCATGAAAATCCTCTTCAGTGATTTATCCCACTGAGATTTAAGCACCTGTTTGCAATTCTGCAAGATTCCTATCCATTTCCTAACTTCTCATTTCTCCTCTGGGAGTGGCTATTTCTGTCTAAAATAGTGCTCCTATTCTTGAACAATTGCAGTCACTAGGCTAGAGCCTTCTTCAAGTTTTATCTATTTGCCATCCGTTTTTAACTGGATGACAATGGCAGACTCCTAGCAATGGGTTCTAGATTTACTGTATGTAACAAGAAATAATAATAGCTGTATAAGAAGAGCCACGAGAATTGTCCACTTTGTTATCTTTGGAATATGTCTTTTTCTGGTCCTTCAATTTATGCCTCATTATATAATTAGCCATTCACTTACTTAACACAATCTAATTCATGCAAGTCAGCTGCCTGGTTTAAACCTCTATACAGGATATGAAACAATTTTCTGATCTCACAGCTTCTCTAGCTGTTGTAAGCTTAACTGCTCTCATATTACAAGATTTTGTAAGCTAAAATAAGGCTAAAATAAAATAAGCTGATTAAGTCGAATAACATGTGAATCCTAGATCTGCAAGACGTCCTTTAGTTGAACTAATACATCATCAAGTTTCAGACAATGCCAATGCATTAAGCAGTCTTACATCTTAACAGAGAAATACAATCACAATTTTTCAGGCCCCAAATCTGGTAAGGGGGGGGGGGGCACATTTAGATCTCCACAACTGGGCATGAACTTAAGTCCAATTTATAGACCCTCATAACTTGTGATTATGTGAATACAACCAACATATATCATCAATGACATGGAAAGTCTGCCTCTGACTATATGGAAGAATATCAGAGTACAACCTTTATGTTTCTTGGTACAATGGGACCTCAGGTACTGATCATAATCCGTTCCAGGACTTCAGTTGGCATCCGATTTGGTCATGACCAGAAGCAAGACAAACTGTGCATGCGCAGACAAAAAAAATGGTGCAGAAGGGGAAATCACCGCAGCAGGGAAAATGGCTGAGGCTGTGTTTATTTGGCACCCGAGGAATGTGTTCATGATGTGAGTGAAACATTTAGATTTTTCAGTCGGCACCTGAATTGTTCGTCGTCTGAGCCTTTGGGGACCCGAGGTCCCTCGACCAAGTATTAAACAGGCTTAATCTTTCTTAGCTTCTGAAGTCAGATAAGGTAGCAATGAAACAAGGTAACGGAGACTTCTCAGGAATAATCAAAACATGAACCAATTGGCTTCCTATATATATCTCATTGTACATATGCAATACCTTTCAGATGCATTCAAACTACAAAACCAGAACATCCACCCACCTCTAGATATACTGACAATTCTGGAAGTTGTAACCTAAACCTCATGGAGTGGAGGGTAAAGTCAGGTTGAACAAGGCTGTTTGACTTCTTGTGCATGTATCAGTGTCAGTCCTGATGGCGGCCTATACAAATCCGTGCTCATTTCTTAGCAAAATTCAGAAATGGTTTGCCTTCTTCCTAGGGCTGAGAGTTACTGACCCCTGGCTGGCTTTGTATTTAACACAGCACTAGAACTCCCAGAGGCTTAGATATTAACCCAATCTGGTTGTACGTCTTAGAGCTCTTCATTTATCTGTAAATTCTGTTTGGAGAATGAGCTTTTCTCACCTTTGTGTCCCTTTAAATGATCTCACATAGGAGATTTTTCTTCCAATATGAACTAGCCATAAATCGCCTACAAATCATATACCCAACCTGGGATAGTCATCCTCTTCCACCTAGCTTCAGGAGGGACACACGCATGGAGTAATGAAGGAGGAAGGGGACACCTGCCTAGTCAACCAGATCAGCCAAATCAACCCTGGCAATCAGTGGGGGTGACAGATGTGTTGCAGCCAGATCGCCCTCACATCCACCCAACTTCCCTATAAATCAGTTTCACTGTGCTAAAGTTTCATAAACACAGGAAGTAGCTGACATGCGAAATGTCCTTTTCTTCTTAATCAGCATGTACGCACAGTGTACTCTATTTCAAAAGACAGACATCTGCTATATTTTTGATGTCAATGTTTATGTCATGACAAAACTGGTGATGTGAATCCTTGGTCATAAAAGTGTAGCAACTCTAACAAGAGAGGAAAATAGTCATGTGGGAAAGAAATATAAACACACAGACGTGAAGGATGAACAATACAACATCTTAAGAAATCTCTCCCTGCCAGTAACACAAGTGATGTGATGGATTAGATAATTGATTTTCAAACACAAACAGAAATGAACCAGTGTTGTTTCTTTCTTTCAAGGTTATCAGCAAAGATGAATCTCGAATCAACTTTGTCTAAGTAAGAATATTTTCTCTTCAACCAGGAGTGGGTTCCGGCAGGCACTACTGCCGGTTTGCTCACGGGGGGCGCTGCGCGCATGCTTTGTGCACGTGCTTGTTGCGCGCTGTGTGCACATGTGCAGTGTAATAAAAATTGTTTTGCACATGCGCAGAACCGAAAAACAAGATGGCGGCGCCTATGGCACCGTCTGGAGAACCAGTTCAGCCGAACCGGTCTGAATCGGTAGGAACCCACCACTGTCTTCAACATTTTAGTTAGATAGGTTCTACTTGATATGGTTCAACTAAGTAACTATATGGCCAAATGGTCTCCCATTTCACTTGACTGCAGCAACAATCTACAGCTGCTCTTGGGATCCCCAAGGTGCTTTTTTCCAAAGGCAACTGACCTTTCTTGGGTTTTTTTCTGGAATTTGAAAACATTTTGCTTCTCATCCAAGAAGCTTCTTCAGTTGTTCAGCTTCTTGGATGAAAAGTAAAACGTTTTCAAAGAAAAGATCAAGAAAGTTTAGTTGCCCTTTGGTAAAAAAGCACCTTTGGGACAACCATGACTTGGATGATCCCCACCCCCACCCCAGCACAGCAGAGTTGCCAATAAAGTAGCAATCTTGAAACAGGTGTCAGAGATGTGTGTTTTGGAAGCTAACCAACCCCCCCCCCCAAAAAAAAGCAGTTGAATAAAAGAAGCATTTCCTTCAAAGGGAATGGATGGTCCAGAGGGGGAGGAAAGGCAAAGCAAAACATCATGTAGAAAGGTGCAAGTGCTCTATTATGCTGGCCCATTAATAGAGAAAGAAAGACAAAATGGAAGAAATTCCAAAGAGAGGAATTAAAACAGGAGAACAAGATTTGCAAGAAGAAAACATCTATAGTACTATTATAGAGTGTAGTTTAGTAATAGTAAGAGAAAATGTTGTAATAACAATAGAACAGTTATACTCTAAGGTACAGTATAGAGCAGGGGTAGTGAAACTTTTTATACCTACCACCCACTTTTGTATCTCTGTTAGTAGTAAAATTTTCCAACCGCCCACCGGTTCCACAGTAATGGTGATTTATAAAGTAGGGAAGTAACTTTACTTTATAAATTTTATAAAGCAGAGTTATGGCAAACTCCTACCGTCCACCATGAAAGCTGGAACGCCCACTAGTGGGCGGTAGGGACCAGGTTCACTACCACTGGTATAGAGGAAATATAATAGTAATTGAAAAGTACAATAGAGTATTTTGTTATAGTAATAATAATTAGCATAATAATATAGAAATAATACTAATAGAATACAGGATAGAGACAATAGAAAACACTCACATAGAGATTTCTAAGTTTCATATTTCATTTTTATTTCTTGTTTTTTTTTTTCCTTCAGCAGAGCTTAGATGAGAAGAAAAAAGTCTTCAAAGAAAAATCAGAAAGTCCAGTTGCCTCTTGAAAAAAAGCACCTTTGGGACATTCATACAGTAAGTTAAGATTTTAATGTAATTATTTGCATTAGAATGTCATTTCTTTTTTACATTGGCATATCACCTACTGGATTATATTTATGAGAAAAGTAAAAAAAAAAAGTAACCAACTTTGTTATTGATGCTGGGTGAAGCATCCTTTGTATATTAGTAGAATTCACATGAAGTTCCGATAACAACCATGGGCAAAGTGAGATAAATGTTCAGTGGCAAAGAAATGCAAAAGTTCAGAAAACCTTAAAAGGGGGAAATAATTTCACAGAACTAAAATACCAAAAGGAAATATTTACTTTAATTATTGTTGTCAATATTCTTTATTATCACATCTTGATTTATAATCAAATATTGCATCTCCCTTGGATTATTCACCTGACTTTTCAAGCATACTACTCAATATACTTCTATTTTCTTGGGCTCAATCTTCCATTTTCATTTACTTGCCATAAACTTTGAATTGTCATGTTTAGTTGTTAAACTAGAGTTGAGGTCAATCATGTATCTACTCAAACTTTACCTTTAATAATTTAGATGGCAATTAAATTTGGACTTATAATATAAATAGCAGCATCTTCTAACAGGATGGTTCCAGATAATTTTAAGAGGCAAGACTTACATCATTTTTAGGAGGAACTCTACCTTAGTTCTATTGTACTACATAATTTCTGACTGATCTTAAATTTTCCATTCTTGTTCCTCAATGACCTACAGTGAAAAGTGAACAGTGGAAAGTGAACAGAGTGATTTATTTATCACCTTTAGAAACCGCTCATCTTCTCCACAGAGCTACTCTGGGCAAATTATGTCACCGTTGGGTTTAAAAGCTTTCAAAACTGTCAAGTATGATATTTTTTATTATCCTCCCTAAATGGGATTTCGAAGAGCACAACACAGTGTTTTTATCACTTTCTGGAATGGGTTGGAGTGTGCTCAATCTTGATAATATTTCAGTAAAATCCTATGGAAGCTACCATGCTGGATTTGGCGGCAAAACTATAATTTTTATTTAATTTTAGTAGGTCTATTAGATCCTGAATAATGTGAGATAATATGGACTAGATGAGGCACAACACTGAAAGTAATATTCAACTTGTTTGTCATTACAGCAATTGCAACTTGGATGCATATTCCTTTCTACTGTGTGTGTGTTTGTGTGTGTGTGTGTGTGTGTGTGTGTGTGTTAAATTACATACACAGACGTGTGTGTATCCAGAATCTGCAATCTTCTACAACAAGTTTTCTCATTCTCACAGGAATCAGCCGAAATGCTTAACAGAAATCATAACCAATCATTGGCCACATTGAATGGGGCTTCTGGGAATTACAGTTTGAACTCATCTAGCGGGAAGATTGTTCTAAGGAATCTTAAATGTTTATATCTTGTTTTGCTGCCTTATGAAATGAATCTTGGTACACTCATATTCTTCTTTTAGAGACAATTTTCCTGGCTTCTGAGTGCTGTAGGAGAGCCTTTCTCAATCCTTCATTATTTTAGATTTTTCCTACACATTGCACGCATCTCACAACAGAAATGAACCTTCAATTAATATTCAGATCCAGTTCAGGAGGGAAAGACTCGGACAAAAAACCCATTTCTACAAACACACAAGGCTCAACTCAAATTACTGAAAATTCGGCTTTTTACTATCATACATGCATGTCATTTTTCTCACATTGAAATGATCCTCTGGACTTGTTTTCAGGTTTAGTTAACCCCACTGAATACAGTTTATCTAAAGCCATTATCTCAAGAAAAGGTCAAGATTTTAGTGCAAAATTTTCAGTCCCAAAAAGGAGAGAAAAAGGGTCCCAGATTTTCCATGTTAGGCAGAAATTTAGTTTAGCTTTTCCAGTTGTAAAATATCATACCCTCTGCTGGAAATAAGAATGGTTTTATAAGAATATAAAATGTGATAATATTTCAATGTATCATCCTATCAAAGCGATGCATTCTCCTATCAACATGGTTACCAACAGTTTCCTTGCTTATTATGTATGGCTTTTTGTATTTTACCCTTCTATTCATTTAAATGCTTGAGACATTAGTAATTAAAATATAAAATACAATAAAGAGATGACATAATGGCAATGAGCCACAGAAACCCTGCTTGAATAAATACTTAGATGAAGATATTCAAGATAATTGTATACCTTATTTTAAATGGTAATGAAGATCTATTTAATGATACAGAAATGCAGCATATTTGTGTCACTATGGATTGCTGCACTTTAGATCAAAGTTACTCGCTTATTGGAACAGAGAAAATCTGTTTCGTGGAAGCAATGTATTATTTTCCCCTTTAAAATGTAGTTTTCAAGGTAAGCATTCAATTTATTGCAGTATACTTGGCAATTCATGTTTTAAAGGCATGAACAATCTAAAGGCACTCATCCACTTCTTCACCACTTCATTCTTTTTAAATCTCATTCCTTTGTAAGAATTGTTTGTTGTCCTCTGCAATGATGAAATAGCTGAAGCAACAAAAAATGTCCTTACTCTTTGAAAACTCTTCCTCATCTTTTGCCCTGGGGAAGAGTAATATTTTCACCCTTATGCTAAGTGATTGGCAGATTTACATATTGGGTCCAGCAGTTTTACTGGCAATGAATATAGCAGTATGACTTCCCACATCATCTAACTATTGAATAGCAGCAATTAGCTAGTTGCAATATCCAACCCATCTTCAAGAGTAACTCCATGGAGAATAGGGGTCTATTTGTAATGATGCTGTAAGTGTTGCATGGACAGGAAAACAGAATATAAATTTAGCTGGAATCAAATATGTTAGAATCATCCCACTGAGAAGTTTCAAAGGTCGAGATA